ATGTTTGAGATCTGTGAACAATCTCACTAAAACGAAAGCAGCGTACTGAGAAATGGGCGAACTATCACGATATATATATATATTTTTATTTTTTTTCATTTTGTTTATTACTACGCAGCTTATAAATATTCACAATTAACTTACTAGATGTTAGCATACATAAACTTTTTAAAGTAGCAGTTTTTATCAGATTTTATTTACGTCAAATTTAATTGAACAACCATTGCAATCAGCAATAGACCCTTTGAAGTCAATGTTACTGGCGAATGATCCGATGAGAAGTCGTGATCAGCCGTCAGTGGGACTTGACTAACGGGCCGCATGAGCAGTCGTGTACGTCAGTGTGACGTGACAAACGGGCCACGATATCAGTCGTGTAAGTCGATATTTGTTCCTCGTTATACTGACCACAGGTAAACAAGTCGTAGAGGTACTCTCATACTTAGTACTAAATGTTTAGCAGGGAATAACAACTACCGTATTTTTAAGAAATGTGTTATGCCCTTCTTCTTATAGCATGACTAGTCGAACAAAGGTACTTTCAGATTTGTTTGGAATTTTGATTTAGCATTTTATAAAGGGTTTAGTGGGCTGAGATCATTTAAGGACGTGCCTCCATCAGTGTATTGGAAGCATGTGTGCAGAAAGTAGTCTTGTTTTTTTATTTTCCCCTCTTACAATAAAGTGGATCTGATGCAGACTTCAGAGTGCTAAACCACTGAAAAACAATGGCGTAGGCTACAAGCACATTATTTCACTCGGACACACTACACCGAGTGTCACTGACAACATTGAGCCTTTACTATGAATACGGTATCATCATCATAGAGACTATATGAACAGGAGGATTTGATTAAGGGCAAACAGTAACCTTATTGTTTTGCTTCGATAATCCGTTCATCGTTGAACAGGCTAATTATCCAATTCCCGACCTGCATGTTTGCTCCGTTCAATAACAATATAAACAAGTTCTGTACAAGTTGAATACATAAATATACCGAGCTTTACCAATATTTATCAACATTCCTACAATGTGAAAATTGTTGCATCATTCTAAAATATACATAAATGCATCACAACAAATATTGTTTCATTAACAAATATATGTATTCTTAATAGCCCTGTGAACAACGAAAGCTTCTAGTTTTAAAGACGGTCGTTTTATCTTAGTTGTTTTATACATACCCACTCAATTACATATGCATTTTTCAAAACCAAAACACAAAAAAAAAACTTTTGCCTTTTTCATCTAACCGTTCCTACCCAGTACAAGTACTCAGCGCAATCGGCATTATGGTGATCTTTTGATCAGGTGTATTTTAGCAATATCACGTGATTGGTCACCTTTGCGATGTCAAAGTGTACCTTCTAGATAATATTACTTGTAATCTGTACAGAACAGAAACGAGCAACAATCATTAAATATATATCGTTTAACTTACTTTTACAGTATAAATATTAATAATCTTTCTACTACCTTATTTTCTAGTAGCTTTTGAAGTGTGTAACGTCTATGTTTGACTTTTAATGCCCAAACCGACCGTTTTGTGTCGAGGGACCATGAAGCATGAACTATAAAAAAGAAGTAATCGTTATGATTTGCTTCAGAGAGATCGAACCAAGCCAAAACGTGTATAAAAATGACTCATTTTATTAACTTCTCGTGAAAACATTTAGATGCACCCAGCTAATTGCAAGTTGGAGATGTTATCTGTATTCAAAGTTTTCTTGTTTCCATCTCCACACTGGCACGGCGATTGTCGTCCTCCCAGTTAAGGTCAACCTTTCCTGTTAACAACTACCTCTGAACAGCCGAAAAGCCTAGAGTAATGCTATGTGGCAATTTGGTAGCTTCCTTGGATAAAGACTGACAAAGCTTGCAAATAGCAATGACCTTGACCTATCTTCAACGTCACACAAGTCTTTGTTTGGGGGGTTGGTTTGGTTTTACTCTGTTTAACGTCCTATGGCATGTAAAAGTACCTCCATGTTTACCATGCCGAAGGTACCTAATATGGCATTACGCCCAGTCACATATACTAACAACGGGAAAACCAGTTGTTATCAATCCCCCTAATGCTGAACGTTAAGCAGGGAATAACAACTACCATTTTTAAGGACTTTGGCATGTCCGTGACTGCGGACATATCCATTGCTTTTCCCACCTTGACAATCGCTGAACACTAAAGCTAAAAGGTATTGCCAAGCAAAGCGCCAGGAAATAAAAGGTAGATAGAAGTAGAACAAATACAGAGATCCCAAATATTGTAATGGGTGCAGCAGATTAATTTGGGTTGCTTTTATGTCCCGAAGGTAGAGGGCACAAAAGAAAATCTCAATTTTGAAAGGGGCTCCCACAATAGCCGCCTCATCCGAACATGCATTTGTAAACAGCAGGTATATACTTTTCGCGATCCCCCACCCGCAGGTTTCTTAAAGTCACAGAGAGCAGATATGTTAAAAACGCCAAACGACTTCTGAAGAACGGAAAGTCTACAGTCATGAAAGAAGGCTTGTATTCTCCCAAAATAGAGCACGTAAAATTAAGAGCATCAAGTTATAAAATCATTGAAGAACCGTAATGTTATCATACTATAGCCTATTTAAATTAACTTGAGTTGATCTCCCTACGATGGTCATTAATGTGAAATGAATAACAGGTGTTACAGGCCCATTGGGGCTGTTGTAGGGGTTAATGTTCTATTAACAGCTCAGGTCATTGAAGAACCCGCTACCATGTTTGTAAACATACGTGGAGGAATGTATGCTGGAGGCAGCATACGCTGGTATATTTTCCTTCTTGTGATAGTAAGAATTCGACATCGATTTTAGAGTGCTTCCTCGCTGAAATGCCAGTCTGAAGACACCCACATTATACTAAAGAGGAGTCAAAATGTTGTTGTCATTTACCTAAATATGATGCCAGCTAAGTTGGGTAGGCAATTGGTTCTTTCCGAAAACCGGGACATAACAACGTCCTTTAAATGGTATTGTTTTTCCTGCTTAACGTTAAGCATTTAGGGTAATGTCAAAAACTGGTTAACCCGTTGTCAGTGTAATGTGACTGGGCAAAATGCTGTGTTTGGTGTTCAGTGAGATAGCACTACAAAGTCGGCATCAGATCCGGGTATCACAAGGATGCAATTACACCAGCGTACCCTGTCTCTGGCACACATACAGGCAAACACGACACACATGGAATCACTTCCTTAAATGACTGTTAATAGGACGTCAAACGGAATATAACCAAACTCACACCAATGAGGAAGATACCATCCCCGATGTAGTTGACCCAATAGTCGCCTCTTACGATCATGCAGTGGGATGTACTAGGCCTATTCTTTCCCGAACCTGCACGGGCATTTAGTCTGTAGGAGCGTTGTCAGCATAATGTGAGTGTAATGGAATACGTTGCTGGATGCTTTCTGCATATTTTTTTAGTGAGATAGCACTCTAAAGTTAAACTTAACAAGAGGTCAATGGGCCTTAACGGTCACCCGAGTAATGATATATTTATACAGATAGTTGATTATTGTTTTTAAAACATGAACAGAAGTATTATTCAAAGTGATGAAAAAACAATAAAACAACCTTATTCAATATCTAGCATACAAATTTAAGACTGAAAAGTATATAAATTTAGCACCTCTGATTCTAAACAAGGAAAATGAAGAAATTTGAGCACACTGACTCCTTTGGGCGCCCTTGGGGGTAGAGCTGGCTCAAACTTTATAAAGTATCAAACTGTCAACTCAGGGTTAAAATTCCAATCAAGTTATCAACATGTAATATTCAAAGTATCATTTGCCATAATAAATATACTTCCAACGGAAATTAAACAAATGTTGGTTCAAAATGTGATTTCCCTATATAAACTAAAGTAAAGTTTACCCCCTCCCCAGGTGTAAACGTGAGACCACAGGGTCAAGAAATTCACAACTTTGGTAAAGTACCTTAAGTCCCTTCCAGCTATGAACAGTATTTGATTCTACATGTACCATATCTGGGTCTTGAGAAGAAGATTTTTGAAATTTTAGTCAATTTGATCCTTTTTTGCCCCCAAAATATCAGCCACTATTTTTGTTGACCTTTGGCCATGGAAAGTGTCTGCCAAATTTTATTGAAATTGGTTCGGGGGTTTTGGAGAAGAAGTCGAAAATGCAAATTGTTTACGGACGCACGTAAACGTAAACGTGAGACACTAGGGTCATAAACCTTAAGAACCTTCAATCTACCTGAAATTTTACTCAATTTGACCCTTTTTGGCCCCGTTCCTCAGGACCCTGGGGGCTAGGGACCATATCAGCCACTAGTTTTGTTGACCTTAGGCCATGGAAGATTTTTTGCAAAATTTTATTGAAATTGGTTCGGGGGTTTTGGAGAAGAAGTCGAAAATGCAAATTGTTTACGGACGCACGACGGACGATGGACGACGGACGACGACGGACAAAAGTCGATCGCAATAGGTCAGTCTAAAGTGACCTAAAAACACCATATATTAATATAATAGTGTTTTATGGAGAGAAAAGACGCTTTTTGAGTATAACCAAGGGCACTAACAATACTGTTCTTAATGTTTAACGAGTCATTATCAATAACTTCTAACAATTATTATATATTGAATAACCCTGATGAGAATGCCTCAAATCTCTTCTGACATACGGCAATATTACATCTTCCTGGTTACGAGTTCCAAGAATCTTAGGAATACATGACGCGTGCTATGGTGTTTTAATAGAAGTAAAACACTTTTGTTAACACTGTCACTTTACAACACATATATACCCTTTCCAAATGTATTTTTTGCTCTTATCATAGATAATCAAATAAACGACTAGGTGGACATTTTACATTCCTTTAAATCACTTGTAAACATAAAAACTTCAACATGCTGTGTATCGACGCAGGTTCAGTTTACGTGAACCAAAGACTGCGGTTCAGTAGCCAATGAATTTTAGGGGCGCGGCTTAGAGTTTACCCACTATGTGTTCTGTCCTATAAATACAGGAACCATGTCTATGTAATACCAGGTCCCACTGTAGCTGCATAAAGTCTGAGGACAACTGTGCAACAGGTAAGTTATATTTTGCTGTATTGTTGATGAGGCGAAATCTATAAATCTAATTGATTGATATAGTAAATGTTTTACCGTATCATTAATGTTAATGTTTTAAATATATTTACTTCCAATTAATTTAAGTAACTATGTTAGATCCGTATTTGTAAAGTATTATAAACATATAAATACACAATGTACAATAATTTATATGTAATTATTGCTCAGCACCGACTCAAGCGTTATTTTTTCTTTCGTTTTTTGTTTGTACACTGTACCTTACGTCTGTTTTGATAATATACCGCGCTGCACATGCGCGGAATTTTTTGCTCGTATCTATTACCATATGCTTTGAAACGACGTTCCAGAAAAATACAATATCTCATTTTAAAGCATGGTTTAGAAATACGTTTACATCAGTAAATTATTTTCACACTTCATCTTCATTGATATATAATTGCAAACAATAATTTTAGTCTTTAAATTGATACTATAACTTTTTAATTGAAAACTGCACACAAATCCTGTTTAACAAAACAATTTTGGACCACTGCACTGAGACATAAACATGGCATTATGAACAAATGTCAAAATATCGGCCTCACACGTCGATGTATTGATATGAGTTAAAGAAAATATAAATCGGTTAAGTCAAGTCTGAGGCAAGACGGTGCATAATTTCAATTCTCTTTTAAAATTACTTACATATTTGCGTCAACAAAATGAACGCTGACGATATCGATTCTTTTTTTATTAGATTAATATGAAAAAAAAGCTTAACAGTTTTCATTGCAGTAAACAAAACACTTTATTAAATGATGAATCCCCGATGTAATAAAGAACGTGACCTTATTGCTCAGTACGGATGATAGATAACATGACGCTCTCAATTATAAACCTTGTTAAGGGAGTTGATCCTGTCGACTTTTCTGTTCATGTATTTGAAATTTGTATAATGGTTTGCACTGTGAACCAATAAATCTAAGGGAATACGTTACCAAATAGGTATAGCAAACAGTGTGTGGGTGATGTGATCACGGTGAAGGATCCTTGCTGGACATTAGAACGTTGTAATAAAACCCGATCATTTGTGACCAGTAAAACGTTGTATATGCGTCATAGTATTGACAGCCCAGTAGGTGTTACGATGACGCAGATATTATTTTAACGTCAAATAACTGGGTATGTTTTTATCTAAATTGTCGCTGTTGATACATGACAGGTCTGAACAATGCATATTTAAACTTATTCCACTTGTCTGATAATTGAACAGCTACATGTACGAATGCATCGATAATACCCTTTTGATATTCTGTATTGAAATTCTTTTTTTATCTGAATTCAAATTGTAACATTTTTTAAACGCATATATTGATACGTTATTCCTCCTAAATATCAAGAATTTTAATTTAAAATACCGTTTCTTTTTATCCACAAAATACAATGTTTTTTTAAATATTTTTTTTGATTTTCGGTAGTAATGTACAAGTTCTTAGGTACCGCTTTAAACAAAATAAGCATGATTAAATTTTCCATCGAGAATTCCAATGTGAAAGTATCATTTCTTATATTCAATATATCATGTATATGTCACATCGAAAGACTTAGCTCTGTGATGAGTCGGTCTGTAGAAAAATGAAACAAATAATATACTGCCCAGCTAGTGGTACAGATCATCGCATGTTTTTTTAAAGGAAGTTCAGATAAGATGTTTATAATACTTACGTGTTTAACAGCCTATCAGCAAAGGAGAGGTTATTAGGGCCAAAAATATAAAAGGAAAGTGACACCAAAAAAACGAAACGGTAAAAAAAAAACGCGAACTTGAATATTATTAGTGGCTATTCGGAAAGAGATTGAACTTCTGCTTAATTTATAGCAGTTTTGCCGCTTATTTTTGTTTCTTTATGCCAGGTACTACCATTTTATAGCCGCATGCTGTTGACAACATTTATGTATATGATCATATCTTTATCTACACAGTGCATGATGGCGTACGTGTCTCTGTGCTGTTTAGCGGTGACGCTGTTTTGCTGCATTGCTACTAACAATGCCAATATTCCACATGAGAGGGAGGTCGAGTTGGAATTGGCTGAACGAATACTAGATCTCTTAGAGGATAATGAGAAGCGGATGAACAAGAAATATCCCGACCAAACACCAGAAGATTTAGTCGCTGAAGCAGAAAGAAAAGGGCAAGAGGCTCTGACCGAAGACTATGAACTAAAATATCATCATTACGTTACCGGTATGTACTTGATGCCCGTTACCCCGCCTGCATTATCATACATAGGTATTACCTCCACATGGTTTTATGAACATGGTTTCTACGAATGGTTGGTTGGTTGTATATGGGTTAACGACCTGTCAACAGATGAGGTAATTTAGGAACGTGCCTCCATGTGTGTTGTGAATGCGTACATGTGAGTATGTGTGCTGAAGACACAAACGTGACCAAGATAAATCTGCTGCATCCATTGCAAAATTTTTGATGCTTTCTCTCTTCCTTCCGTCCGTGGCAATATCTCACTTTCGACACTAGAGTTCGCCAAAGTGAGGAAGGTTAAGCATTCTGTCCCCAGACAGGGACATGCTGCAAAGTCCCAAAACTAATAGATACTATTCCCTGCTAAACGTTTTTTTCAGTTAATGACAATAACTTGTTACTATGATTGTTGCCTTGTGCAAAATATTTTTTGAGCGAGCTAGCAGTTTAATGTTGCATCAATCCGCATATTGCAAGGAATCTAATACAATTCCAGCACATACACAACCATGCATTAATACACATGGAGGCATGTCTCTTAATTTTCAAGGGGTAACATTTTCAAATTTCAACTGTTTATTTTTCATATAAACCCCATAGCCAAATATTGCAATTGAAAATAAATCTTTGGTCCCTAGTTATGTCGGGATATGTCGAAAGAAAAGTTTCGACAAAGATGCAGTAGTCATTCTTAATTTGCAACCAAAGATGACCTTACTTTGATTTAAGACCCGATGCTGCTAATTTCTTAAAATGTATGGCATCGACCATGGCGGTTAATGTTAACAAATAACGTTTTGCATGTCAGCCGATTGTAATTAAAAATCTCTGATCAAATTCGTCCTCTCACGACTCCGCACAGGACATACATGTACAGTTCGTCACGTTCTGATCAAATGTGCCGATTGTACTAATATTATGAAGTGCCCGATAAGAAAACATTGTCTGCGCAATTAACGTGTCAAGTGCATCTACGTTTGTAATATTTGTCCGAAATATTTTGAAAAAAAAATGAAATACTTACAATATATTCCGACCATTTCGCTGTGTACTTCTGTATGCATATTTTAACATTTTACTATTGAGTTTGTATTTGCGTGTTAAGGTGTGCACGTGCTCCCTCTTAGTCTTGTTAGGCCCGATAGGACTATATCGTTGTAGGGTTCTAAAGCAAAGATGTATCCTAATGTTTTATGTATAACACGAACAACAGAGACGACTAATACTAAACTGAACGATGAGCAAGATGGTCAATAACATTATATTTGTTTTAGGTACAGACAAGCTCTCTGACGGCACCTCCTATGCTGATGCACAAGCCGCTGTTGCGTATATAGACTACACCCCAGCCCATGCAGAGGAGCTTGACAATAAGACGACGGTCGCCCTCAATGCACTGAAATATATATTAGACGAGTAAGTAAATAGTTTAAAAGTAGTTATGCTATGCAAAAAAATGGTATTATTACATTCTGAAGAGACGAACGATACAGAAGAGGTCATTAGGGTCAATACATGGTCGAAACTAAATCTTAAAAGAAATATCATCACAGAAACAAAACGTAAACTGACTAACAACCCCCTTTGCATTAAAAATTGTAGAAATTGTTCTTTTAAAAACATTGTTTTGAAGACATTTTTTTCTCGATCTTGGATCTATAAGGGGGGCTCCATGTATGAAGTACCAACTATGAAATCTGCGCTTAACCTTGGGAGGGGTTCCCGCATTGGTATTCACACACCATCAAAATAAGCATTGCTTGTACAAGGGCATACCTCCTTAAGTTGGAGAGGAAACTACAATCTATATACGTCCTGTGATTTAAATCAATGCAGTACGGGAGTAGTGTGAACAATGTTTTTCAACAAAGGGGCATAACTCCTTAAATTGAAGTACCATCTATGCATGGGTCCTGTGCATTAAGTATAATTTAAATCAATGGAGTACTGGAGTAGTGTAAACAATGTTTTTCAACAAAGGGGCATAACTTTATATCTTTGGAAGGTAGATCCATTCGTTATAGTTTCTTCTCCATCGAATGCACCATTATATGAGCACTCTGGGAATATGTTTTTCATCAATTTGGCATTACTCTTTCAATTTAAGAAGTAATTCCAATCTATATACTTTATTTACATTTCCTCAGTGCACAATAAGGGTTCTGAATACCAGATACCATTGAAATCGGTACATACCTCCGAAGGGGTATATAATAAAGTTAGTTTATTTCTTAACGGTCCAGCAACGGTGAAGTCATATCGGGCCTTACGATAATAATAAGGGACAATTGCATAACTGAAAAAGAAACTGAACAGTAAAAGTTTAAAAACTGTACGCATAAGTACACAGGAAAATGGTCTGAAGTTATAAAGCAAAGAATTAAGAAATTTCAAATGTTCCTGTATGAACCAATTTCACGCAGATATTCGTAAAGATCAACATTGTACTAAGTGTATTGTTCCTGTTTTTATATCAGGCACGTCATAATATTGGTCTCGAATCCGTCTAACATCCGTCTAACATCCGCACACTCCATCAATATGTGAGACAGTCATGCTTCGTCGCATAAATACATGACTAATACAGTATAATTTTCTAGCCCTAAGTTATATGAGAAGGGGCATAACTCTAAGATAATAGTCCTAATTTGACGACATACAAAAAGACACAACATCGCGTTAAAGGGAAGTATACCTAATGCCTACATATATTTAGTTTAAGCGAAAGCCATCTTTACTTTATAAGATACACCTGACACAATATTCTGGACAAGAAGTTTCTTTCTGAACAGACCAAATCTTTCTGAACAGACCAAACCTTTCTGAACAGACCATCATTCTTTAGGCAGTTTCGAATTGTAGAAATATTTTATGTTTCTAAATCTGAGATTTGTTATATAATAAAAATATTGTTGTGCTGGCTGAAGGTCAACGTAGTCTAGTAACTAATTAAAAGGCGCCAGAGCTTTACTCTTTAATTGTAACACATGCGTGCGTAAAGAATTACTTCCCTCCTTGCTACTTGTTGCCAATAATTGTTTTCGTCCGTTTGTGAAAAATCTTGGAGCTGATGTCCGTTGCGTTGTTGTTTTTGCTGATGCGTCAAAACAATTATTTTTCTCTGTTTTTGACACCTGCTCAAAAAGTAAAAATGCGGAATAATAATATGTTTGTCATCAACCAAGGCTACTATCCTATTTATTTTGTCACATCTTAAATTTCCTCAGCTTTTGATTACAATTTGTTGAGAATATGAACGAAATAATAAATATTTTTTAAAGTCTTGTTAGGTTTACATAATTGATTTATACATCATGAAAGAAACAGATGATAATGCATGTATGTCGAAATCAACAACGCTTTTTTCCAGACCATCAACAGGAGTATTAACGCCGTTGTTCAGTAACTTTATTAATATTCACGTCGCGTACCGATATACCACTAGGTACCGACAGAAAATATAATGAAGTTTATTATTTTTTTTCATTAGGCATATCGCGGTGTCTAACAAAATTTGAAATTCGACCCACTGTTTCAGAATTGAAGAATTATTTAGACTATATATTGGCATAGGGATACAACGACCATCTCAGTTACGTTAAAGAATTACACTCTTCACTTTTTCGTATACATTTTCACGGACATATCGTAAAATATATTTTATGAACTTTATTGATTTATAAGAATTATCAAACAGGTTTTCTTTCCAACTTACATTGATAATTGCTTTTGTGCCCTGACTGAAACGCGCAGATGGTCTTAATGTGGGAGGAAACCGGACTTTCCTGAGAAATCCCACTTGGTCGGGCAGGTAACTGTGATCTTGTTGAAGACGGGTGCGCTTTCTCCTGCGCCATCCGACCCACATTATAAATTACACAAAAGAAGGAATCTCTACTTTAAATGGTGTCTTTCATGCAAAAAATTATATTGTGATCACCAATCATTTATGATACAGAAATTCAGCATAACTGACGGTCTTAATAGCTCGTTACAGCTTGTGTTTCATTTAATGTTTCTCTTCACTTCTGTTTTGATGGGCCATTCATTTTATCATTAGATTCTTGTTAGATAATTAGACTGTTGATTCTTGCGGAACTGGACTGGCCGGTCAATCTTTAATTGCTAGAACTTCGATTTCTGTCTAGAGTTCGGCGGGTCTCAGGTTCGAATCAGTCTGGTCGTACCTTTCTCTTCTCCTATTACAGATCTATAACCAGTATATTTGTGTCAAATCACAAATACAAAATGATGTATATACACAGTACACATACTTGCCACCTTTTTGAAATTTCCAGCGTGTGGGGAGGGGTGTTTTTTGGTTTCAAAAACCGGGAGTCTCCCTCCAAAAAAGGGAAAGTTTGCAAGTATGTACAGTGTGCATCTTTCAATTTAACTATTAGGAATCCGTTTAGTCACAACAGATACATACAGAGTGTACTAGCCACACCTGTAATAGACTTATATCTGTACGTTTACCCACGTACACGGATTTTGTTAACAACGCAATACTTGAATGGTCCCTAGATGATATACATGTACATAATACAGCTCGAATGTAACGAATTATTCAGTCAAATATCAGTTAATTAACTGCCCAAGAGTTACCAAATAGCATCATAAGGTGTCCGACAATAATTCCTAACCGTGTATTCTATCAACTGAATTAATTCAAAAGATTCGTCTTATTCCAGCAAAGCGAAAGTAATGCACTGCCATGTTGTATATTACTTAGCTTGCGATCTGAACCGGTCACGTCATGCACGGGGTATGATAAATGCATATATCCAACATACATACAGTTGACTACACACATTTATATGTCCTTATTTACTAATCATTTAATTACATTATCATTATTTATTAGTCGCAATATAAACATAACTATAAACTGATAACCATTAATTTAACAGCATTTAATCGACTAATGCGTCGATGAAATAAAATTAAAAAAATAAAACTAATATTAAGCTGGCATTATTTTGTACATGAAATTACAATATACAATTTATGTGAACTTCTGAATACAAAGGTACAAAGCAACGTAAAAATTGATGTGCAAATCCGGAACCTTACACCCGGTAACCGCTTTCCAGAGAAGATGCCCCGAGTGTCAATAGCCTACGTGCGGCAGTGGCTGTTGACACTCGGGTGGTACAGACCCTGGACCGTTTTTCTTTACCAAAAGTGCGTTGCGTTTCCGTTGCGTTTGCGTTCCGTTTGCGTTGCGTTTCCGTTGCGTTTCCGTTGCTTTTCCGTTGAGTTTGCGTTGCGTTTGCGTTGACCGTTTGAAGTGCGTATTAAATTAAGCGTTGAATGTGCGTTGAATATGCGTTTTTCTGGTTATTTAAGAAAACGATCGATGGCTATGTATAGGTTATTTTAAGAATATTTGAGTGCTGAAATGTTTTAATATGAAAAAAAAATAGTTATATGTATAAAAAAAGTTTGCAAATTAAAAAGAAAAATAAATATTCAAATAAAATAGATAAATACATGAAATAATCGGTTGGAAGTTTAGCAATGACTTATATCTATATTCGAATATTTGGGCAGCGTCGTGTGCTGATTGATGGGTGCATGTCTATACACGTACCTTAATTGGCCAGTAAAATTATAAGTAGAAAATAGTTGAGTAATTAGTTATTTATATATTCTAGATATTTAATTTTCATACTTATATCATTCTGTTCATATGAATATATGAATCGAATTCAACTAAATCTACAAATACTTCCATCACTGCACGCATGGGCTGATGGTTTCGTAACGACACCAGGGTAGTCTGGATTGAAGAGAGGCTTATAATTAGTGCGTCTAAACGGCGAGTTTCATTTTATGAAATATTTGTAGTTTTATCTTTATGTGTGTATGCTTTTTCGTTAATTCAATTGTCTATATTGTGGGTTTTGTTTACGTCCAGGTCGAAGTATGTAAGTCCTGCGCTCGACTCGCAATAATTATCGGGGGTGCTTCCTGTGAGGTTCGAGAGGTACAAGACCCCCTGCCAAGGTTTTGATTACGTCATTGAAAACCATTGAGACCTAGCAATTTTACTACAGTGGTCGGGTATTCGGTATTTCTTTAATCTGAATCAAGAACACACAAATGTCATTATCATTATCTTTTAACATTTAATAAAATAGTGATGAGTATTCAACTAAGTATTTAAAATATTGAAACGATTAATAAAGAACGTGATTATGGTTAAACCACGAATGGCAAAAACCGCCACAAGTGAAAAAAAAAATCAATAAATAATTAAATTGAATAAATAAAACAAATTATTTAATAAATCTATAAACTGAAACAAAAATAATTGAATTGAATAAAGAAAACAATTAATTAATAAATCAATAAAATGAAATAAATAAATGAACACAATTACTTAAATAAAATAACTAAATAAATGCAGG